TGTTTTGCCAGCTATGGCAAAACAATCTTCAAGGTGATGAGTTGACAGGCACAGAGCAGGTCGCCCACTGGCACATCTACAACCTTCCATGTACTGGCCATGTGTAGCACTCACGACTGCATGAGGTGGTCCAGATACCACCACAGATTCATTCATCTACAGGGTCTTCCTCCACAAATTCCTGCTCTTGTTACTGCTGCTCTCTGACTCATCAAAGTTTTTCTCAGGGGCTATGAACAAGAGCCCCAAGATCAGCACAATGCCTCCAGCCACGGACCCCAACAGCCACACGTCCCACATGGCAAAGAATATGTCTTTCAGGAAGTCCGCTCTGTGGCCAAGTCATCTCCCGACCTGGCTGCCAGGTCTGTGTTCCCCGCTGCTGGAAGGGAATGTGTTGTCTGAAAGATCATTCTGTTTTGTTGGAGTCTCCTCTCCTGAAGCGATTCACTCCCTGTTTCTCTTTATCTGCACACCCATAGTCCTGTGAAGGACAAGTCATACAAAGGTATAGGGCGGCCTTCATATCCAGCAGCAGCTGTTGTTACCCTGTCACTCTGGGCTGTCCCCACAGCAACAAACTGCTGCTGCTCAGTCCAGAATGCAGATTGCATTTGGCTTTTTCTGTGGGAGAGTCTGGGGCCATGACTCAGATTCACAGGTCCCACTTCACCCCGGGGGATGTAAACTTGTGCTTGTTGCCACTCAGAGGAGTGCAAGGTCGTTGCAAGGTCGCTGCAGGTGTTTTTGGCTAGAGAGGCCTACAAAGGTCTGTGAGGTACTACCAATGCCTGTGAGGGGGAAGTGACCAGTGAGCCCCAGCGTGTGGCTGACCAGGACACTGGCCCTGAGAGGAGAGGGGTGAGGGGAGGTGTCCCCAAGCAAAGGGTACTCTCCTGCCCCTTCCTTCCTCTGCTTACCAGCAGCCTGCAGGGAGATCCCTGGGCATGCAGAGCACCAGGAGTAACGACCAGCCTGAGCTTGTCTGCCCATCTTGTCAAGTACTGAACCTCTCTTTGGAAGTTGAGGACATCCTACAGGCACCCAGAATCACAGAATCACAGAATGGTTGATGTTGGAAGGGACCTCTAGAGATCATCTAGTCCAAGCCCTCTGCTCCAGCAGGATTCCTAGAGCATGTGGCACAGAATCACATCTAGGCAGTCCCTCTTCTTTCTTCTAAAAAGGGCTAAGGGCTTTTGAGGGGCTTCTGCCGACTTGCTGAGGGCAGCCCAAGGACATGCTATGGTACTGCTGGTGCATGGGCGGTCATGCGACTGCTGCTGGTCACGGGCAGCAGGGCCTCAGTGCTGGCTGGGCCCTGGTGGGACCCCATGTGTTCTGTGGTGGGAATGTTCATCTGCAGCCTGTAAACCCCTGCAGGGGGAGATCCAGAGGGCCTAAATGGTCTCACGCCTAACGCAATCGTTCAGACCCTCAGCTGGGAGGGATTGCGATGGCTTTGCCTGTTTTGAACAGAGTGTGGCTGTGTTCTGCCCCTTCTGGCTGCAAGCAGGACCTGAGCTTGGGTTTCTTTAGCCTCAGAGCTCTTTTGGTGTGGTGATTATTCAGGAGCTTGCAAGTCAGCCCTGACACCCAAGGGCTGTATTTCTGTTGCAGATATCCCAAATGCCAATAGGTGTGCAGCAGTTATGTTGTTGGTGCTGGCTGGGGTGCCCAAGTTTTGCCTGTGGAGCATGGGAAGCGACACGTCTGCTGCACCTTGGGAAGGTCACCTGTGTGGTGCATTTGCTGCTGAAAACTCAGTGTCTGAGATTGAGGGTAGGCCACTGTGTGTGCTCGTGTTTGTGCTCCATGAGTTCCTATCACCTCACCAACTTGAGGAAATGTTGTGGATGGGTATCCCTTCAGCATAGGGTAATGCTCCCATGGGGAATGGGATTCTTCAAAAAGGTGATCACGGGGCTCTGTCAGATGTCTCCCTGCAAGGACATCTTCATTGGGATGCAGTGAGATTGCCCAGACTGTGCTAATGGTGAATTTGCAGACCTCTCTTTCAGCCATTTCAGTCACGATCTTGCAGCTCCCTGAACTCTCGCACTGCCTGAGCATAGGCCTCCGGCTCCTGCTGCAGGTGCCGGAAAAGATTGAGAGGGTTAGCCGTTCGGAAGTCCAGTGGCAGCAGGACCTCCTTGGGCACCCTCTCATTGCCTAGGAGGAAGTGGTGCAGCTGCTTCTCCTCCGAGGAGAGGCATTTCTAGGGGGCAATGCAGGATGTGGCCAACACGAATGAGAACTGGGAAGGTTTCTCATGCAGCAAATGCAGTTGCCAGTGCTGCCTCTGGCCAATATGTACAGGTTCTAGTGGGTGATCTGGTCTGGACCAGCCATGTCGCCTTGAGGACTGCTCTGCTACAGCTAGAATCATGCTTCGGGGTGGGCAGAACCTTTGAAGGCTGCAGCCCTCATGGGGACACCATCTACAGCCTGCTTATGTATGTCCATCTGCCTCAGAAAAAATTGGACGTCTCTTTGAAAGTTGAGGACCTCCCTCCAGTCTCTCTTCTTTCTTTCAGAACAGTTAAGGGATTTTGGGGCTCTTTTACCCACTTGCTGAGGGAATGTAACAGTGCGGCTACTGCATGGGCTTGTAGGTGGTGGTCACAAAGGGTGGGTGCCATCACAGAGGCACCTGCAGGGAGGCCTGAACCAGGGATAGGAGCACGTTGTGTGAGGGACATGGCCGCCTTGGGGGCTGGGGACAGAGGTGAGGAGGGTTGCAAGTGACCCAGGGTGCCCAGAGATATGTTGGTCATGTGCCAGGCACATGCAGCTCAGCAGGCAGCGCTCATGAACGCCATCCTTACTGCTCACAAGCTGTCTCGCTCCTCTGCCATCCTATCCCTGCGTGCCTGCAGCTCCTGCCTCCATTCCTTAAACTCTCCCATCCAGCCTGGCTCACCTCCTGCTCTCCCACCTCCTCTAGGCCATGGTCCTCCTCTTGGCTGTGCTGGGCATCATTCTGCAGCCATTGATGGTCAGTGACCAGATCGATCTGGCCACGCACCAGCGGATGCAGCAGCGTGAAGAGCAGCTGGGTCAGGAGATGACTCGGCTGCAGCAGGAGTTAGAGAAGGTCGCTCAGGAGCCTCAGAGCAAACCTTTCCTGAAAGGTCTGTTCCTCACCATGTGGAAGGTGTGGGTTTTTGGGGCCTTGGCTGTAGGCTTTGTTTTGCTCTTTGGACTCCTCTGGATGGTCACCCAAGAGGACCCCGACTCTGACGAGTCAGAGAACAGCAGTGACAGCAGCTCCTCCAACAGTGACGAAGAAGAGGAAGCTCCCGTCAATGAATGGGATCTTGGAAGATTTCTTATGCAGCAAATGCAGTTACCAGTCGTGCACCTGGCCAGTACATGCAAAGTGGTAGAGGCCCTGGTGGAGAACTTGGTCCATGCCTGCCATGTAATCACCCTGGGGACTGCTCTGCTCCATCTTGAACCATGTATTGGGGTGGGCAGCGCCTTTGAAGGCTGGAGCCCTCGTGGGGATCCCGTGTACAGCCTGCTCGTGCCCCTGAAGCCACCGACTGGGCACTGCTTCCACATGGAGCTGGGCACTGCCGGGGAGCTGCCGGCGAGATGCGGCTGTGTTCGTGTGGAGCTGGAGTGCGTGTGCTCGAGGCAGCAGCTGCTGGGCGACGTTCAGTGCTCCCTCCACCGTGCTGAAGATGAGCAGGACAGAGACGAGGGCCCCTGTCTCCTGCAGAACCTGTGCAGCCACTCCTACCTGGACGTAGAGAAAACGGCCCGCTGGCTCCAGTTAGTAGTCACCAACGCCTGGCTGCTTTTGCCTGCGTCGCACCGCTGCCACCTGACCGTGCTGCCCTCCTCGCGCTCCTGCAAGCTCCTCCTGGAGAACGTCTCCAGGAGGGCCTTGTCCATTGAGATCTTGCTTGGGGTGCAGGAAGATGACTCAGGAGTTTTCCTGACCAGCCAGGAGGCAGAGGCCGGCCTCTCCAGCAGCACAACATGGCAGGAGAGCTGTGCTGTGCCCGAGGTGCTGTTCTTCAGGCTCATGGCCAAGCAGGCCCCTCGGGATAGCTGCCACTTGACTTGTCTGAAGCTCTTTGCGCATCTCCTGGAGGGCACTGGCTTTTCCACAGACTGCTTGAAGACCATACTGATGCACCTCCTCACAGTCACACCTCTGTCAGGCTGGCACAGAGGGGATCTCCTGGAGTGCATGGATGAATTCCTGCAGTACCTGCAGGGTTGCCTGGAGGAGAAGCAGCTGCACCACTTCTTCCTAGGCAATGAGAGGGTGCCCAAGGAGGTCCTGCTGCCACTGGACTTCCGAACGGCTAACCCTCTCAATCTCTTCCAGCACCTGCAGCAGGAGCCGGAGGCCTATGCTCAGGCACTGCGAGAGTTCAGGGAGCTGCAAGATCGTGTCAGGAGACTGTTTTAAATGGCTGAAAGAGAGGTCTGGAAATTCACCATTAGCACAGTCTGGGAAATCTCACCGCATCCCACTGAAAGCACCCTTGCAATGAGGCAGGTGTCAGAGGCCCCTGTCATCGCCTGGAGAGCAACCACTGAATGTTCTTGAGAAATTCCATTCCCCACGGGAGCATTACCCTTGGCTCTGAACCCAATAAACTACTTTTTAAAACTCTTTTTCTTTAATGAGCAGTGTGTCTGTGAGTAGCAGGGAACAAAGCTCCATCCCACCTCAAGGATACCCATCCACAAGATTTCTTCAAGTTGGCAAGGTGATAGGAACTCATGGAGCACACATTGAGCACACATTGGCCTGTCCCGTTTTCCCGAGTGCCAGACACCAAGTTTGCAGCAGCAAATGTGCCTCACAGGTGACCTTCCCATGCTGCAGCAGATGTGCTGCTTCCCATGCTCCACAAGCAGAACTCGAACACCCCAGCCAGCACCAGCACGGCCAGTAAGAGTAAGGCATTGCAGGTGTCCTGCGCTCCAAGCACCCACATCTGCATTGCAGGTGGGACACCAGCAGAAATAGAGCCCTCGAGTGTTGGGACAGACTTACAAGCTCCTCTATAAACATTACACCAAAGGAGCTGCACATTCTCTGGTGCTGCAGAAGCCTGAGTTCCCGTCCTGCTCGTAGTCAGAAGCGGCAAACAGTGTGTCTGAGACAGGCAGAGCCATCGCAACCCCCTCACAGCTGAGGGGTCTTAAAGATTATATTAATTGGGAGACCATCCAGGCCCCTTGTACCACCCACTGAAGGGTTTTGCTGGCTGCAGATATATCTTCCCACCACAAAAACTCCCTTTCCTACCAAGTAACACTGCATCCCAGCATATGCGACCAGCACTCTGTGCCCTTGGCATCAGCCGTCACATGGGAACCTTGTCACTCTGGGCACAGTTCCTGTCCGTGCCCCAGGCTGCTGTGCCATTAGAGGCGCCACTTCCCACGCATTCATGAGCAGCGGCCGGGCTTTTCCCAATCCCAGCTACAGGCCATTGCTCCAGCAGCTCCATAGTCCTGCTCTGGTCTGGGCACCAGCAGCAGTTAGAATCATAGAATCATTGTGGTTGGAAAAGATGACCCATCTGCCCCGAGCAGCCCTGCCACAGTGCAGGCACACCCTGCGCCCTCGCTGTGGGTGACTGCTGTCCACCATGTGGTGTGGCAGGGCCACCGGCAGGGAGGGCAGCAGCACTGGAAGCTCTGGAACCGGGAGCTCTGGTGGTGGCTCAGCATGTTCCCCAGGATGGGAATAGACTCCGTCAGCTCCCACAAAACTCAGGGCTGCTTCGCCTCACCCTCCCTCTCCCCACAGCCCCACTCTGGGTTTCCCCTCTCCTTCAGTGCCAGCTGCTGATCAAAATATCAGCTTGGACTGCTAGGGCCATGGGACTGTGGATGGCTGCTAGGGCCACTGTCCTGCTGAGGCCTTAGGGAGGTTACCTCCTAGTCGGCTGTGAGGGCTATTACACCAGCGGCCTGGCCTGGGGCAGAGGAGGCCGCGGTGGCTGCCCTGCGTCAGGGCCTGTCCCAAAGACTCCCATCTGGAAAGAAGTGGAATTACAGAAGAGGTGGAGGCAAAGACATGCAATGTCTCCCAGCTGATGGGTCTTCAAGATTACATTCAGCTGGAGACGCTCTCACCCCTCTGCACTTCCCACCACTGGGGTTTATTGGCTGCAGCTGGACCTTCCCACGGCAGAAACTGCCTTCCCTACAAGTGCAATCAGTCGCTTCCCATCTGCCAAAGATGCCTCAGCACTGCTTACACTGTCAACGTGCCTTCCAGGGAAGCGGCCACCTTCACAATTTGCTCTATTGAAGGAATTGCACAGTTGCCCCCCTTTAGCATAGGAATGTTGCAGTTGCCAGCTTAGGCTGTTGCAGAAATTGCGCAGCTGCCAGCTGTTATCCTAGGAATGTCACAGTCGCCATCTTGAATTGTTTTGCTCAACACTAGATCTGCACTTATTTTCCTAATTAAATACTGAATGTTTTTCAAACTGTAAAGGTTTATTAGCTGCAATAAAGGAGAGATTGCACTACAGGTTCTTAGGTTTATTTATCCTCTTAAAACGTGATGGCAAGGCCCTCTCCCATAGTCTGAGCCCTGTGCCCTCCATGTGATGTGGCAGAGGCCTCCACAGCTTCATCGCTTCTTAGGCAATGAGAGGATCCCCCAGCCCCTGGGCTTCCCCAGCCTGCTCAGCTTCTTCCATAGTAATGGAAGTGATATCTAAGGTGCGTGGGAGATGTTGCTCATGAGGTTGAAGTTTTGTAGTGCATGTGCATGTGTATTATGAGCAGTGACCAGAGAGGTCTGGCCACGCAGCAGCGGATGCAGCAGTGTAGGTATCAGCTGATGCAGCAGATGGCTCAGCTGCAGCAGGATTCTTTCATTTTTCTCCTCTTTATCCTTTTTAGGAAACCAGGAAGTTCAAGGATCACTGCTGAAGAAAACTTTGGTGTCGTTGTATAATACCTGGGTAATAAAGTCAGAGGGTAAAAAATAAAATGGCCCATGTTTGAAGACTGAATGTTCTGACCACAACTATGAGTAACAGCTTTATTTGTAGGAGAATCATTATAAGAAAGTGTAAAAAAAGGGGTTCATTAAATAGTTTTAATCCTAAGCACAACAGGAAGCACAACCACAATCACATGGCAAGGAAACTCCGTAACAACTGATAGCATTTTCCATTAACATGAAGTTAATTTCAGCCTATAATCAGCCTAAGGACACAGACTGCATAATGATGTAGCAGGATAACTAACCCTACACGTAGCAAAAGGAAGTTTGGTGAGTATGGTGGAAGGCAGAAGGAATAAGAGTGGGACTTGCAGAGTAAGAGTGCTGTTGAAGTGCGTGGTACCGCAGATAGGAAATGCACTCTGCCCTCCATTACCACCGGATCTTCCTACGTGGGTTTCCCTGCAATGGGCTGGATAAATAATGCAAGTACTAAAAATTTGCATTGCTTCTTTTTCCCTGACCCCATAACTGCGTCACTGATCTGTCCTGGCTTTGGAACAAAAGGTATTAATTAACTCTATTACCAGACATGCTGCCTCCTTGATTAGTCACAGATTACCAGCAATCTGATACATACTGTCGCTGCCCATCTCCCTGGGGCCTCCTCTGATCGTCTTCATGACCAGGCCCCCTTTATAGCTCGTTCTGTAGCCATCAATCCCTGCCCTGTAATGCTGTAATGATGATGGTCTCCAGCCCCACAGAATGTAAGTGTCATGAAGATAAGGACAATTGTGTTAGGCTGGCATGTGGGCTTGTGGGCCTAGCAAGATCCTGCCTCTGCCTTGCTAAGGGCCTGATCTGGGCCCTGACCCACGTGGGACTGCCCAGCCTGGGCCCATCCATTTCTGTGCAGAGGTGCTCGGTGCCCACAGCTGGTGCTTCCCTGGCTGCCCTGCTCCCTTTGCGGGCAATGGATGGACCCTCACTCCAAGACCCTGCCCCACTGCCGCAGGGAGCCCCTGACAGTACTGACAACTGGGCTCAGAATTCCTTACTAGGGATCTACACCCGACCCTTCCACAGTCTGCCACAACCTAGTAGATCACACTGATGATATAACTGCAAGCTACAGACTGGATGTCAAGTTGTCAGTGGGATGGTGTCAAAGACAGAAGTGAACTGGGCCAATAGAAGTCCTCCTATTGATTTATGAGTTGGAGAAACACTGCTTCTTGATAGCTGGAGCTGTTGGTCCTTCTACAACAGAAAACAGCTGTGATGAGGCCTTATAGCTACTTCTTCCAGCTTCTCTTTGAAGAATGTGTGGCACTGAACAGGTCTGTGAGTCCATCTGGCCCAAGAGCTATACGGGATGGGCTGCCATTGCTAGTAATTTGTTTTGATTAACTAGGATCTAGGAAGGATATATCTATGATCTTTGTAGAGCACAGGTATAATGGTGGCTGGTTCATCAGGAAGTTGGGAAGGCGTACTAGGGAAGTCTATCTAGCCACGTTTTCACTCTGGTTTCAAAAGCAGTTGTGAGAAGCCGGCCTTCTAGTTAACGATGTTTTATCCACAGTAGCTCGCAGCATTTTGGAAAATGCTTAGTTTTGATGACTGGGGTGAGTGGCATCAGGATAGCCCAGTATCCCAACTCCTGAGGTGGGAAGAAGTCAGTGATGGTACTTTGGTTCTGCCCAGATCATTCTTCTTGCTGTGATTCTCAGTCAGTAGCTACAGCAAGAGGCACAGCACCAGAAAGTGTTTTGCAGCTCTTAATCTAGCAAGACAAACAGAAAATAAATCCTACATTGATGAGGAATGATTTCAAATGGAGCATTCTGTTAAATGAATTTGGGTTCTTCTTCCACATATCCTTAAAGATCCCCTCAAAGATGCTAGTAATAAGCAGCTTTCTCTCTTGACCCCCTTGCCCTCTTTTCCTCTTTTGCTCTGCAAATGTCCTCCCAAGGTACAAACCAAATATTATGTGATGGAATCTTGACAATTATCTGGATATTTTATGAGGGATGTTAAAAAATCTCAGGTAGATGTGAGGAAACAATCTGAGAAAAAATGATGTATGTTCCAGAACTAGAGGAAAACAAATAGCAAAAGTATTCTGCCTGCTTCCTTGCAACCAGGAGCTTCTTAGGATGTGTGCACAGGCAATACATTGCTATCTTGGAGATGAGGCTAGAGAGTACCCTAGCTCCGTTTAGACACTTCAGAGGATGCAAAAGACAAGATTTCCTGGTACCTTACCCACTCTGATCAAACCCTGCGACTGAAGTCAATATAAAAAAAAAATGCCTTCCGAGAACCATTTTTTCTCGTCAGAGATATTGAGAAAATAATAGACTTGAATGAAGTGTGCAGGTGAGGAAGGTTTGCACATGTAAAGGAATTTCTCATCTCACAGAGCTGAGAGTCCAAGAGACACAAAAGGGCATAGGGATACGTGCCATCCTTTGTATAGAAGTATTTGAAATCTGAGGAAGAAACACACCTTTGACACTCTAGCTTCAAAAGAAGTGAAAGGAAACATGGCACATCCTGTTTCTACAAACTTTTTTTTTTTTTCTGGTCACTTTAAACAAAATCTTTAAACTCTTAAGGGTTTGCAAAGTTGCGTATCTTCATTCATAGTTTTCCTGTTTTCCTCTGAGGTCAGACAGGTTTGTGTGTGAAAGGACAACTAGCACTTGACAGAGCAAAGCCATCTGCTACTTTTTGTTTACACTACATCAGTGAAGCTAATCTCAGAGTTTCTGCATATTCTTGTATTTTCAAACACAGTAAGAACACAGGGGCTTGAAGAACAGAATAGATTTTAAATGCTTTGTTGATGGCTGATTTGCTTCAGTGTTTTCTCATGATTAAAACAGTTTGTTTGGTGATTTAATGAGGAAACTGGGCAGAAGCCAAATGAAAATGATGGAAAACCTAAGGTTAAGCAAGTTAACCTGGGTGACATCTAATCTATGATACAGCCAAATTCAGGTCTGTCTGGTTCCAAAGTCAATAACTCAATTCAAAAACTCTGTTCTCCCACCATACAAGTTCTTCTCAATAGTGGCCAAATTCCCATTGAAGCTGATGAGAACAAGCTCAGACACTTACATAAGCAAGTTCATATTGCATGGGAACCAACCTTCTGAAATAAGCAGAGGTTATTTCTGTAGCCAACGGTCAGTGATATGGCCAATTATCTTTTCATGAGAAATTAAGTGTCTGTTTTGTGGTGTTCTCTGGAACATAACAAGTCAGGGACCTCTCACAACTCTTAAATCACAGAATCCCAGAATGGTTGAGGTTGGAAGGGACCTCTAGAGATCACCTAGTCCAACCCCCTGCTCCAGCAGGGACACCCAGAGCACGTGGCACAGGGCAGCATCCAGGCAGATTTGGAAGATCTCCAGAGAAGGAGCCTCCACAGCCTCTCTGGGCAGCCTGTGCCAGGGCTCTGGCACCCTCACGGGAAAGTAGTTCTTCCTCACATGGAGATGAAAGGTCCTGTGTTTCAACTTGTACCCGTTACCCCTTGTTCTGTCACTGGCCACCACCAAGAAGAGTTTGGACCCATCCTCCCTACAATCACCCCTAAAGTACTTGTACATGTTGATCAGATCTCCTCTCAATCTTCTCTTCTCCAGGCTAAACAGGCTCAGCTCACTTAGTCTTTCCTCATACGACAAATGCTCCCTTGTCCCTTAATCATATTCGTGGCCCTACGCTGGACCCTCTCTAGAAGCTCAATGTCCTTCATGTCCTGGGGAGCCCAGAACTGCACCCAATACTCCAGGTATGGTTGCACCAGAGCTGAGTAGAGGGGGAGGATTCCCTCCCTCAACCTGCTGGCAACAGCCCCGCCAGGGGACACCACTGTCCGCAGGCCTCCATCTAGACTTGGCACCATTTATCACAATCCTCTGAGCTCTGCTATCCAGCCAGTTGTGATCCATCCCACTGTCCACTCATCTAACCCACACTTCCTGAGCTTCCCTATGAGGACGTTATAGGAGATGGTGTCAAAAGCCTTGCTGAAGTCAAGGTAGACAACATCCACAGTTCTCCCCTCATCCATCCAACCAATCATCCCATCGTAGAAGGCTATCAGGTTGATTAAAAACATCTTCTCCTTAGTGAATCCGTGCTGACTAATCCTGAATCTTGGTCAGCTTCTTTTCCTTAACACGCCTTGAGATAGTTTCCAGGATGAGCTGCTCCATCATCTTTCCAGGGATGGAGGGGAGGCTGACCAGCCTGCATATTCCTACGTCCTCTCTCTTGCCCTGGAAGGCCTACATCTGAGGAACCCCATGTGAAAAACCTTGAGGCAGGTAAACACCCCACAGAGGTTTTATTAGAGATATCCTTGACCGGAGGGGAGAATAAGGCACAGCTATGAAGCTCTTCAAATAACAGATATACCAATACCTCATTGAAGTCATGGGGCAACTAAAAAGTTCACAGTGAGTATGCATTCTTGGAAGGTCCCTTCGTATTTAATAAATGAGATAACTAGTCAGCCTGTTGGAAAGATACAGATTTTCAGCCACTGAGGGGAGTCCTCTCTTAAGGGAACTAAGGCTTTCAAGGGAAGAAATTCCAGGAAACACTAGGGAACTAATCCAGTCAGACTCATAAACAGCAGCATTTATGATTGTCTGCAAGCAAAGACTGTTCTGACACTAACTGTGTCAGAAAAAAATAAAGCCTAATAATTCATTAAGACATGCAGTGGTCATTTACTCCTCCTGGCACTGAGATACAAACGAGCTGCTTGTATGAGGTGATAACACAATCACAACTTTTGGTATGCCCTAGAAATGTGGAAAGAACCTCAGCACTTACAGTTTTGATCATACGGAGCTTACAAGGTGACATATCACTTAGGAGGACCTTAGGAGGTTTCTAGTCCAACTTCCTTCTCAATGCAGGGTCAGTTCTGGGATAGGATCAGATTTCTCAGGGCTTTATCCAGCAGGGCTTTGGAAAAGCTCCAAGGATGGAGACTGCACAATCTTTCTGGGCAACTTGCTCCAATGTTTGAATGTTTAAAGGGGGAAGACGTTTTTCTTGTATTCAGCCTGAACTTCTCGTGCTTCAACTTATGCCTGTTGTCTCTCATCCTCCTATTATGCACCACTGTGTAAAGACTGGCTCCTGCTTCTTGACAACCACCTTCTAGGTATGGTGAGCTCACAGTATTAGGTCATGCTATTTGGTCTCCTCCAAAGCCATCTCTACTCCAAGCTGAAAAGGCCTGACTCCAAGCTGAAAAGGCCTGGTCCCTCAGCTGCCCCTCATAGGTAAATGTTACAGGCCCCAACCGTATCAGTGGTTTTCTGCTGAAGTTGCTCTTATCAATGTCCTTCCCATACTGAGTGGCCAAAAACTCGATACAGTATCTAGATGTGGTCTCATGAGTTCTGATTAAAGGAGAATAATCATTTCACTTAATCTGCTGCTTATTTTCTTGCTCATTCAGCCAAGGATGTTCTTGACCATCTTTTCTGTCAGGACGCACAGCTGGATAATGCTCAGCTTTCTGCTCATCAGGTCCTTTTCTGTAGAACTGCTCCTCTGGGGCATAGCTTGGCATCTGTTCTTGTCGAATTTCATAAAGTTTCTGTTGGCCCATTCTTCCAGCTTGTCTGGGTCACTCTGGATGACAGCCCTGCTTTGGAGTGTATAGTCTGTTCCTCCCAGTTTTGTATTATCTGCAACTTGATGAGAGTGCACTTCATCACTCCTTCACATCACTGATAAAGAAGATGGATGGGTTTTAGGACAGACCTCTGCAATCCTCCAGTTGTTAGTGGGATCTAGGCAAAGTACAGCATTTTTACTGTGGCCCTCTGAGCCCAATTATACAAGCACTTTTTGCCCGCTTGTGTTTTGCACGCCGCCACATTGTAAATTCCTGTCTTGGATACATTGCACAGGAAATGTTGGTAGAAGAACCAGGCTAGACCAGAATAAAGCATTGATGCTTGAGAGATCACTCTGTGGGAGGTGCAAATTGTTGCATGCTGGATACTTGGATACCACTGACTGCAGCTTGAAGAGTGCAAATGTTCACACTGGTGAACATCTAGCCTTTTACAACAGAACAGGATGACAGAACATCACTATTATCAGCTACAACAGCACATTATTATTCAATGTGGAGCACTAAGGATGAGTTCCAAACTCATTGCATTTTCATGAGGCATATATGTGTTTATATATGCAGATAGTGCCCCAAAGGTAGCTCAGAGAGGTTCAGGAGGTGGCAGTTGAGGTTTCTGAGAGAAAACAGAAACAACAGAAGATGATGGATGGCATTTGAATGCCTTAGGAAACCTACTTCTCTTATAATCTAGGAATAATCAGGCTTAGTGAATGTCCACGCCAGTTTGGAACCAGGCCTATTTATGAGATATTGCTAACGTGGAAGCCCACATGAGGAAGCCTCCAGCACCTGCAGATATGTTTGTGCCTTAATGGAGCTTCCTTGTTAATGCAGCCAGGGCGGACTGGGCAGTCCTGCATGGGTTATTTTTGAGGGAAATAATCTGCTTACATGGGAAGACCAGTATTTGCATCCTACACCCTTTTGCCTCTATCCCCAGCATTTCACTGCAAGATCCTGTGGCCTTGCAGTGCCCTGCCCTGGGCTGTGAGCAGACAAGAAAGGCCCAGGAGAATGGCCTGGACATGTCTGAGCAAAACTGTCCCTGGACACAGAGCGAGAAGGAGATTTGGTGCAATTGAGGCTTGCCCTGGAGTCCAGTTCTCCAAGACTGCTGGAGGCAGAGGGGGAAAAACCCTTTTCCTCCTGGCGAGCTGTCCAGAGGGCCTGGTGCTCACCTGTCCCCCAGAGCCTGAGGCGAGCGCCGCGCAGGCAGCAGGAGATGGCCGCCCGCCAGCTCCTCGTATCCTGACCCACGTTTCCTGAGAACTCAGCAAGGCACAGTTTCACAGACAAAAGGAAATCCCTCAACTGCACAGAGCCCAGAGAGTGGAAAGTTGTTTTTTTGTTTTTTTGCTTTGCTTGGTGTTTTTTTTTCCCAGCTTCCCCCTGAACATCTTGGCCAGCTCGCTGTCCCTGTCAGCGCAGGATCCCAGCGGAAACCCGGTCTGGGCTTGCGTTTCCTTCCTCAAGAGAGGCTTCCAGGAGCACGAGGGATTTACCGACCACCACCTTTCACTCCCAGTCCCTTGCAGCTGTCCCACCGAGGGCCATGTGCAGCAACAAGCTGCAGAAGGGCTTGCTGGTGGCCGACTACTTCGTCTACTTGCTGGTGGGTGCAGCCGTGTTCCAGGCACTGGAGAGGACTGCCGAGAAGCAGCAGAAAATGGCAGCTGCCCAGATGAAAGAAGCTTTTCTGCAGAACTTCACCCACCTCACTGTGGCAGAGATGGAGCAGTTCATGAAGGTGAGTGCAAGGCACGGGAGTAGCTATTTGTCCCTGTCAGCCTGCATGTCTTTGCTCCACAGATGACTTTCGCTGCGTCCCTGCTGCTGCATTCATTTGGATGATTTCTGCAAAGTCTCTTCTCCGGCCTGACTAGGAGGTCACACTGATGGTAAATGCAGTGCATGAGGCTTGACAGAACCTTTTGTGTTAGCTATTAAAACAAAACAAAACAAAACTGAGGTCCTGATTCCTTTGACTCTTGCCTCCTGCTGACATGACTTTCAGTGGGGCTGTGCTGATCTACAGTGGGTGGCACGGCATGAAAGATGAGGCTGTCAGGAACATCAGTGGGGACGATTTCCATGCGCAGCAGCAGCATGGGCAGTGCAAAAGAGCAGTGCAGCAAGCTCTGAAATAATTTCTAGGGAAAAAACGAAACTTAAATATGTGCAAGGCTTGTGGCATAGTTAGGGTTTGTTTTGCAATGCACTGTGGAAGTGAAACACTCAGCCTTGCCAGAGAAAATTGTTTTCACCACTGCAGAGAAAGCAATGCTAACTCTGGTCATCTTAGTTATTTTATAGCTCTCTCTGCTACAATGCAGAAAAAAGGGGGACTGAAAACAGCCTTCCTGTAAGCATTTCTGCATGGGAGAGCTCTCAACAGGCCAGTTGGCAGGATAAGGAGGGGAGCTGAGAAGCAGTATTTGTAACAAGGTGACTATTTATCCAGCCCCACTTCATATAATGATGAACTCTCTTCAGTTTGGATTGATGGGTGGAGAAAAAAAAAAAAAGGATCTTTGAAATGAAATCTTTATGCTTTGCTATGGAATGATTTCTGCTAGCCTTGATTATCTGGGGTTAGGAGATTTGGTGGGGAGGGGAAGGGGGAAGATCATATTGGTGCAATGTTTTCCAGCGTGTGTCTTGCCTCTGGCAGGGCTCAGCCCTGGAGCTAATCTAGGCAGCTTCTGTATAAATTGGCTTGTGTTCCAGATGTCCAGCCCCCAGTCTTCTGTTTGCTAAAGACAGGGACAGCTGCATATTGCTTTCTTTTTTTCCCCTAAGGCTTTTAAAAACATATCAACATTGCTTATTACTAAAACCAAGGACGAAAGGAAAAGTCTGAGAAAGCACAGACTCATAGATGCTAGATCTGGAAGGACTTGGGAGAGGCATCTAGTCAACCTCCTGCCCCAGAACAACCTTCATGGAGCATAAACGGTCTCTGACAGATGTTTGTCTACCCACATCTCAAAGGCTTAATTGCAAATACTATTTGTGTGTGTGTGCTCATGCATTCAATTAAGAGAACAGTGCACATGTCAGTCTGATTGCAATTACACCCGAGGTAATGACTTGAAAATCAGTGGACTTTCTCTGGATTTAAACTTGTGACACTAATCAGAATGTGGCCTTAAAATTATATTCTGCTAGTGTGCTATGTGCATCCTGCTATAAATTACATGTGCCTTGCTGGGAGGGATCAGACACACTGCTCTAATTCCTCCATGCAAACGAGGAATTAGACCCTGGATCCACTACTACCAACTCAAGGACAAGCTCAAAAACAGCTTTCAGCCACTGTATCACTTACAACTAGTGGGCTGCCCGGGTCTGGCATACCCTAGTCTTCTCTTAGCATCATTCGTTTCTGAAGTAGGTAGCCTAAATAAATCTGAGGTGCCTGGGAGATGCAGTTTACACTAAACAAACAACCACTCTACGTAACCACAGGGCAAAGAATTAACGCTCAAAAACGCAGTCTGTCTGCCAGCAAGTATGCACCTTCCTAGAACACTAAGGTGTGAATGGTGTTCGGAGTAGTGTTGGAGACAGGTGAGTGGTACTCGCAGGAAAGAAGCAGAAATGACTAAAATCCATAATACTCTTACAGAAAAAAGCAGCTGTGCTTGTACCAAACCTTGCTTTCTCTTGCAGAATCTGACTGAAGCTATTCAGAATGGAGTGTACCCTGTTGGAAATGAATCACAGTTTGAAAACAGCAACTGGGATTTCAGTAACTCCTTCTTCTTTGCAGGCACCGTAGTCTCCACAATAGGTAGGATTTTTGTGTGTGTGTGTGTTGAGCTTACGTATAGTTATTAGGACCTGAACAGATAATGCATTTGAGGGTAAAACTCCAGCTCTTCATGGGCTGGGGTGGGAAGAAGCAACAGACTTGATCTTGAGACCTCACCATACCATAGCAATGAAGCATCTTCATTCAGTTTTATTTTGGCTTGTGAAATTCCAATGTTTTTCTCATCATTGTTTCCTATCCATTTCTTATTTTCTAGGCATCTGTTAAAATCTTGGCTCAGCTGCCAATTCTGGATGGGAAATAGATTGACTACTCTGGTCTTATTTTAGGGTCAAACAAGCTGTAAATCATTCCTGAGACTGCTGTAAAGCACAGAAGAATGGTAGGAAAAAAGTAAACTCTGCAGGGGCATGAACACCATCTTAGCGACCTGTCCTGGTCCTGGGTTAGTGTATGGCTTAGGCCATCTTATGGAGGGAAAAATAGGAAGGGGGCAAGGGGAAAAATAGGAAGGGGGCTATCACTACTTCAGGCACAGGGGTGTTCTTAGTATTTCAGAAGCTGCCCTTCCCCTGTGTCTCTTCCCTGTATCTTTCCCTTTCTCCCAGAAATACATTCCCAAAAGCACAGGTATGACAAACCTGAGTATAAATTCCACACTGTTGGCTGCTGCTTCACAATCACACGCAGTGTGGGTAAATCCATGTTTTTGCAGAGGAGAGCTGAGGTATCATGTTCCTTAGGACAGCTGCCCCACTGCTCAGTGAGTCACAGGGTCCCAGAAGTGTCTCAGCATCATGGCAGGTTGTAGGTGTTGCATGACCCCATAGCTAAGACCACCTGCCTTAGATGAAAGAAAATGCAGCCTTAAGCAATGTGCTCTCTAGTAGTCTTCACTACTGCTGGAACCCTTTCAGTGCAATGCAGAAAAATCATAGAGGAGGATTTGGGAAGGAGAATGAGATGAAATGTGGCTTGTTCCTATTGATCCAATTGTCCAGCTATCACCAATGAACTTCAGCTGAAGATCAAACCTTCCCCTTCTCCTTGTTCCTTACCAGCCCATGTATATGTCTGACTGCATGAGTGCTGAAGAGGTGATTTTAGCACAGAGAAGAGCTGGGCACTAGAAAAGGTTTCTGGCCCATCACGCCAGTGAGGAATGTTTCATGGTTAGAGCAATATTCACATATCAATGAAACTTCCCCAGTTCGTCAGCACACTATTAGTAAAAGCCGTTCCTTGATATCATGTTCTTTTTCATTTTTGCATTTTTCTGCCAAACAGATCAGTTGCCTCCCATCAAATTCTGTTTCTTCAGTAAAAGAGACCGGCTGTCACAGAAATACAGCTTTCCTTATTTCTTGTACCTCCACTGCAGAGATCTGTTGGTGAAGCTACATCATGTATTTCTACCCATCTTCTACCTTCCCGGATAGGGAATGATAATTTCTGCAGTCATGGAAGTGGAACAGCTGTGTGAAAAGGAGCACAGGATAGCTCAAGCATTTTGGGGCCCAGCAGCCAATAAATCAGCCAGTTGTCTTATTTGTCTTTTCCCTCAGAGAAAGCCTGAACTCCAAGAGTAATGGATACCTTGACATGGGCTGGGGAAAATGCCTTCTTTTTTTCAGGAAGGACATACACAAAGTACAGAACTCTTCCACTCAGATATGTACCTCAAGGGGTCTGAGGAGAACAAAGTCTCCTGTCCAGTAAGGGACATGTGTGGAGTTCTGCAGCTATTTCACTGCTTAAATTTTCTTCTAATAACATTTAAAGACAACTAATTGGCATGAATAAATCAGCCATTAAGGTCTAGGCTATTTAGCACAGGCTATTTTTATATACCCTACACTGTTTCCAGGGTTTGAGCCAGTATCCAGACATACCAGCTTTCTGGCATCTAGCCAGGGAGGTCACTAACACAGCAGTGTGATATATGCCCTGGCCACGTCTTCACAAGCAGATTGAGAAGAAGCTAGGGGTGGGATGTATCCAAATCTGGCATGGCAAACAGCCCTGGACTCCAGCCTTGACATCTTCCAGGTCTCTGGCCTTCTGGTTTCTGTCTTTCCATGTATTTGTCACACGAGAGAGCGCATTTTCCATAACTGCTTTTAGATTATGCTTTCATTCCCATTAAGGCTAGGCTGGAAGCACACAGTGCTCTCTGCATCCTCCAAAATATGCAGGGTGAGTCACTTTATCTGCCAACTGGCTTTATCAGAGAAAAGTGAATGCATGTGTGCTGAGAAGTGCTAGGCATTTCTTCTGAGGGCAGGTTTGGGTAGGTGTGAATGGGGCTGTGGACTGCTCCAGCTCTTTGCAGTGCTTCCTCTGACCCATCTTTCTTTTACAGGCTATGGCACACTACGTCCTAAAACTGCTGGGGGACAGATCTTCTGTGTCTTTTTTGCTTTGTTTGGAATCCCTCTGAATATTGTTTTTCTGCACCGCGTCAGTAAGATGCTCTCACTGCTGTGTAAAAAGCTGGGGAAATTCCTGTACGGGAAAGGAGTGAGAAAGGTAATTGGTTCCACTTACTCAGGCACAGTGGCATGCTCACTGCTAGCCCTCTGTCAAGATAGCCTCCCATTTGAAAACCCCACCCTTATATATGACATTCTACTCTGTAAAATCAGAATTGTAATTAAATTAATTTATTTTTCAGAAGAAGATCAAATTTCTGACCCTTTTGTTCTTCCTGGTGATGGGGATCCTGGTGTTTCTGTGCTTGCCATCACTCTTCTTCCAGAGAACAGAGGGCTGGTCCTACAGTGAAGGAATTTATTTTGCATTTATCACCCTCAGCACCATTGGCTTTGGTGATTATGTAGTAGGTAAGGTTGAATTCAGGGAGGAGACACACAGAAAGGCCATGGATGCTACTGTAATTACCCTAAGGTAACACAGTTAGCTAGTGACTATACTGTAGAGACAACTCTTCCACATGAGTCTTCCTAATCTTTGCCTGCTATATAATTCTGGGGCAAATATTCATTTCTCTGGGGTGACATGAGCTGATGAAAGTGCTATGATGTCTAAATATAATGATAGATGGTACTTTAAGAAGCCTCTACAAAGAAGCTTCTAATATGGGAAAGGGAAAGGGATGTGTACAGGAGTATTCAAAGAGCCTGTGAATTTGCATATACCGAAAGGGAATGGTTTGTGATAACTGTACAAAATAAGGCAGGTATCTCTACTTTGGCCACCTAAGTCTTATGTTTCCATGTGTATAGTAAAGAAATAATTGGTCATATTTCAGAAGACACGATTTTACAGCAATTCTCCTCAAAAATGTGGAAAAAGGGGAAGTGGGGAAATCTACTCTGTCATTGAAAAACGGGGACTTACACTCACATAACACATCAGAATTGGCCTCTTCATTAAAAGGACTTATCTGGAACTGAAATAATTTTTCCTGCAGCATTTATCTCCATTGGCATTAAACATCAGTAATAAAACATTAAGTTTAATACCTCATGCTTCTGCAATGAAACTTGCAGAATCACTGGCTATCCTCAGTACAATACATTTAAAATTGATTACAGAAGACAGATGGATTTGTGCTGTCCAAGTGGAACAGAGCAAGTTTGAATTTATTTGCATATTAAAGATTCAAAACTCGTTTTTTGAGATAAAGAGATAAAGCCTCTTTTTTATTTCAGGGAGACATCCTAAGAAGATGCCAGAGTCTGAATTTAACTGTTCATTGTACATGCACACATAGGTGAAACTCCCTTTGGGCTGTAAACAAGCTTCATGCTCTACTTAAGTCCAGTTCTGAGGAAACATTGCAATGACATTACAAGTTGCTTTGCTAACATGGTGTTGAAACTCTATTCCCAAATCATGAGCTCCAGCTAAGAACACAAAAGGAGATGCTTTGCAGCAAGGCAGGCAGCTCTTATGCCAAATCAACAAAAACAACTGTTGGATCTCTAGGCATGAGGGCAAACCAGCCCATGCCTGCCCCATTTCCAAAGATCTTGCATGATGATGTACAAGAATATTGTACATTGGTTTATGAAAACCTATGTTTTCAAGCAGATGGCAGGGTTGTATCATCTAGATCATGCTAAAAGGTTGTGTGGGATTAAATGCAGTAGGAGTAAAAGCTCTCCCAGCATTGGTCATGAACTGCTGAGGAACCAAATGAAATGGCCCACGTAGAATGCAGGTGTGGAGTACTGGGTGATGCTAAGAGGGTTGGACTGCATGGAACATGCTTCAGTCCTCTGATTTCCAACACAGAAAGTTGTGTTCTCCGTATGTGACAGCAAGTTCTCATCAGTCACTCACCTTTTTAATGGTGGATGATCTTGCAGCCATTCAAAATCAAAGCAGGAATTGCGGCTTCTCTTTCTATGATCAAGGATACCTGTAATTTAAAGTAATTATGTATTAGGGCATAATCGCAGTTTGTTGGAAGAATATAGAGAGTTAAAATAATCTAGGTAGCAACTGTAGAGTGGTTTTAGTGGCCCACTGTGCTTTGCCTTTTGTGCCTTTTAAGTTTGGTAATATTTTCATAGTAATACAATACAATTTACTTGTACATGCAAAGGTTGCAATGGAGTTGGTATGCTGGGGTGGAAAATATCCTAATCTGAGGCTAATCCATCTCAGTCTCAGTGTATATTTTGGAAGGGTGCTAGCATGGTGGACTGACATATACCTGCTTATTAAAACCACAAGAAAGTGGCCCTGCCTGAACCTAAAGCATTTTTCCTTTGAGCTGCAGCCTGCTGAGGAAGTGAGAGACTCCACCACAATGTAAAGGTCACCTTAAAGCACTCAACATAAAATACTTTGATAAATTCATTAGGTTGGTTCATTTTACAGAGGCAAAACAATTTTAGCTTGTATATTTTCCTTTTCTTTCTCTCTTTGTGTCTGCAGGAAAGCAATCCGACAGGAATTATTTTTCCTATTACAGAACAGTTGTAGCCATTTGGATTATTTTTGGCCTGGCCTGGATTGCTCTACTGTTTAATTTATTAACCATGGTACTGGAAGATACTGAAAAAATAATCGCCAAGGATCTCCATCAAATGGGAAAGGTGAGTAATGGCAATGAAGCAAATCAACAAAGAAGATGCTGGCCTGCTCATTTCATTCCAGAAGAAGAACTACAGCAACCACATGATGATGGGGATGCACAGAACATGGAGTCATTATCAGAAGCTTCTGAACTCCCCAAAACTGAAAATAATGATGTTTTCTTATAGCAAAAATATTTCTATAACATACGGAGATTGAATTCTTCATTGGAGAACCTTTCTCTTGCCTTTTGCTGAGATATGACTTTTCAAAACTCAAGACTTAAAGTTACACAAAACGAGACTATTAATGGTAAGAAATTTTCTCTTCAGTTTGCTCCCAGGTTGTGCTAACCGCCTGACAAGTGCACTGGTTTTGCAAGGCTTCTTTAAGGTTCTCCCACAAAAATGCAGAGGAGGCACATGGTAGGGCTTGCTGGTTCTGTTTGGATTATGCTGCTTGCAAAAATTCACATCTGTTCCCAGAACTGACATGCACAAGCTTTTCTGAGGCATTTCATAGCACCTTTGGAGAAAGAAATAAAAGGATATAACTTAATAATGCCTGATTTGAGCTGTCATATTGATTTAGTCTGCAGGGCTTGACAGACATGCTTGAAAGGCAGGACTTGGGCTCAGTTAAGGGACACAAGAGGCATCTAATGGACAGGGTTAGAAAAAGGTTAGCTGTGTTAGAAATGGTTTATTCTACCTCTTCCTGTTTTATACGAAGATGAATAAAGCAAATTTCACCTTTTATCCTCATGGCTTTGAAAAAAAAACTTCCTGATGGTACTTACAAAGAGCATATAAACACACATGCATTTAATTCATTGTTTTCATAGCATTTTATAAGAACAGCAACTGGTTTGAATGGAGCCTCACTGCATCAGAGCCTTGCTGCTATGTTTGTGCTCCATAGGTGCTTGAATGTAGTTTAAAAATGACCCTAGCACAGTGCTAAGGTCGCTTGCCAAGTACAATCGTTGTCTCTGCAGTGCAGCCTTCTCATCAACCAAGGATCCCAAATCTGGCCTTAGCAGCAGCAGCCTCGAAAGAGGCAAGCAACAGATTAGCTACACAAAGTACCTCTCTTTTTGCCATTGCTTGACAGGGTTTTTTTTTTGATATCCTCTAGTTCCTTTTTTGAGAGACAAGTGAATAATTGTTCTCAACTCACCCTCAGGGTGTTGCAGCAAGGGCAGCCTCCTCCTGGAGATGTAGTTATCCTGGCAGAGCTGTTCCTGTATTAAACAGAGAATAAATTACAGCTATAAAGCAATTTTAGGTCATAAAGATGCAATCAGCCTTGAAGTTGAACTTGTAACTACTTCAGTCAAACAAAACCACACTTCTTGCCAAAACAGCTCTGCAGGTTCAAGACCTGGCATGTACACCAGGCCAAATATGCACTCTCCTTCCCTTCCCAAATTATTTCCCAGTGTTGCCCTTAAGGATGACTTCTTGGCTAACATTTCTCACTCTATGAAGTCTTTCCCAGGCAGTAGGACTAAGAACTACCCCAAATCAGGGAGACTGGTGGGGACTGGGGCTGTGTTGTAGGACCGCAATCCCTGAGCAAGCCGTGGCCCACTTGTTGTGACAAGATGACATGACCGACTGCTTTGCTGAAGAAGTAGCTGGGTGCTGCAGACATTGTGTTCCCCTGACTCACAGCATATTTACCAGACCTCACTTTTTAATGCTGCCTTTCCCCAGCCCTTCCTTCAGGGACCATTCACCCCATGCCCAATCTAACAGAGATCCTATCAGGACAGTTTAGGGAAGAGGTGATCCTGGCTGGATTGCACAACCTCCTATGGTCCCCTCCAGTCTGACTCACTGTGTTTGATGCTCCTCAGCACCAGGATGCCAGGCAGAGCGACTGGGCTAGTGCACAACCTGTGTCCATTTGCTGGACAGAACAGCATGGAACCATGCCCCAAGGAACAGCTTTAAACCAATACCTCTCTGAAAGGTTTTTCCTGGCTTGTTGCTGTTGTTCTGCTCACTCCCTGCTGTGAAAAACAACATGACCCAGCCCTGAAACAAGCTGCTAATGTCTTATTGAAATAAAAAGTCAGAAAAATCAAGGATGCTTGTTCAAACATTTCAGGGAAGGGCAAGAGAGAGCCCTGTGGGTTCTGACCACAAGCAAGAATGGAGTCAGAAAGTGTCTCCTTGAACAGATTAGGACAAATTCTCCCATGGGTGAGTATTTAATGAAAAGCTGTGAAAACCAAACACTTGTCACTTCTGAAAGCCAGTCTGCCCTCTGCAGCTATTGTTACAGGATGTGGCCAAGTTGTTTTTTAATGCCTCTCTCATCGCTGTGCTGCCCAGGGTAAGTGTGTGCCCCTCTGGACAAGGGTAGGGGAACAAACAGACTAAACAACTCGGGACCTGAGGAAGCAGGAACCTGAGCCGGGCACAGGCATCCCGGGGCTGCCCTCCTCCAGGCACCACTGTGGGGCTCCTTCATCCTCACACAGACCTTTAGCTGTGGCTCACAGAATCACAGAATCACAGAATGCTTAAGGTTGGAAGGGACCTCTAGAGATCATCTAGTCCGACCCCCTGCACACGCAGGGTCACCTAGAGCACGTGGCACAGGACTGCGTCCAAGCGGGTTTGGAAGATCTCCAGAGAAGGAGACTCCACAACCTCTCTGGGCAGCCTGTTCCAGTGCTCTGTCACCCTCACTGTTGAGAAATTTTTCCTTAAGTTCATGTGGAACTTTTGGTGCTTCAGTTTGTGGCCAGTTTGTGGCTCCTGCGCCCAAAGGAAACAGCCGTGAGCAGAAAACACAAAATCTCTCTGGAGAAATTCAGTTGCATACCTTAAGAAAAACAGACAGGCCATCTGTAAACCCCCATGGGGCTGCAGAGAGGCCTTTTGAGGCCTTGGCCTTGGCTTTCCTTCCCATGCCCTCTCGTGGCTGTGTGCTGGCAGACCCTTTCCTGCAGTGCTTTGGCCAAGCTCAGGCAGTTTGAAGCCATCTCCTGTCCAGGACTCTGCTGCATGGTTTGGCTGGTCTAGCTGAAAGCCGCATCAGCTGGGACATGTCCCAGGGCAGCGGCTGTCAGTGCGAAACAGGAGTAGCCAACTCATATTGTGGAGTGGTTCATGGAGGCTTCCTGAAGCCAAAAATGGCAGGTTTTGGTGCTTTGGAGCCGGGATGAGCTGACCTGAAATGTGGCAGCCCTGAAGGCAACTGATAGTGCCTGACACAGAAAGGACAAAGCTGCAGATAGGTGGAGAAAGGAGCACTAAAGGGTGTGTGGTCCTCTGCAATGGGCAAGGCAAGAGGAAAAACTCTGGAAAGCCCTAAGCCAGGGTGGGAGAGGAATTTTTTTGTGGATGCAATGTGGTTCCTCATATTTATGCTGAACAATAAGGCTGTCTCCAGAAGGGCTTAGGCATAGCAACAAATCTGCTTCAGGGAGCAAGCTGCCTTTTCCAGCAGGATCATCTTCTGAGCACTGCACAACCACAGCAGCTCTTATCCTTGCATCACCTTTGGAAGAGGGAGCTCTTGCAGAGAGCAGAGGTCCCACTGTAAGTTGTTTTACCCAAGTTAAGGCAAGAAGCCTTTGGCAAACACCTCCCAAGTCCGGTGCTCTTCCAGGTCTGCTGCCTGGTTCTGCTGTTGGTTACTAATAAATCAGCCCCAGCAAGCAGTCCTGTAGTTGCTGAGGTCAAGAAAAATAATTTTGGACTAAGAGCAAAGTTAAAACACAACTTTTCCCCAGCAGCTGGATATTCCAAAAGGTCCCATGATGTTTAATTCATGAATGCAAGCCAGGCGCCGGCTCTACTGCACTTTCCCTTTACACAAGGCGCAGAAAAGAGGAATAAACCCAGCCTAAAAATCCTATGTTTTTTTCAAGTGGCACCAGCAGTAGAATTGCTCCAGAGGCCAGTGGATCCATGCAGCCTTTCCAGGGAGCCATTCCGTGGTGCTCTCTGCAGCCCAGCCCTGCTGCACTGCTCAGGGAATTCCAGCTCCCCCAGAGCCACTGCCAGCTCTCCCACCAGTAGAATTGCTCCAGAGGCCAACGGATCCATGCAGCCTTTCCAGGGAGCCATTCCATAGTACTCTCTGCAGCCCAGCCCTGCTGCACGGCTCAGGGAATTCCAGCTCTCCCAGAGCCCTGCTGGCTCTCCCATTGCTGCCTGCTTCCCAAGGGGAAGCACATCTAAGGTGGGCTGAATCCTTTCCCATGCTTTAACACCGAAAAACTCCAGGAGTTATATTAAATAGCAGCAGCACATTCCCGTGTTCAGGTTGGGCTGCTCCTTGTGCATCACCTAAGCCTTTGCTGCCAGCGAGCAAACAGTGCACATCTCTGCACTTGCGGAAAAGCCTAAGGAATTATCTTTCCTCATAAGGAAGCCACTCAGAAATTCGGTTGCCTCCAGAGAGAATAGGAGGAACTGCACTTTGATCTGTCTTTAATTAGTATAAGGAATTGTTTAGGGAACTCTTGCGATCTCTTTCAATTAATGGCCAGTTCATTTGGAGAGATTAGTTTGTTTTCTGCTTTCCTTTTTTTTTTTTTTTTCTGTGGAGACACAACTCGAAGCAGCGGAACGGATTGGCTAATGTAACATCACATAGCCAGTGGGATCATTTTTTTATATAAATTATTAAAGTGAGGCCACACACATGGTGTTTTCCACTCCGTCACGCTTGGAGAGGTGCATCCTCTGCCTGACTCATAACCAAAAAGCCTGAAACCAGTTCAGAATTGGTCTGACAAACATAACAAATCACTCTCCATGGGCCCATTCCCTGTCCCTTGTGATCACACCTGGAGGAATAAAAAGAACAGATTTTTGGAGCAAGCAAAGCAGGATTTAAAGTCCCTTTGCAGATCTCTTGCAAAGCCTAAAGCAATTTTCCTGTAAGCAAAGAGGCTCTTTGGTAGTCCCAACATATGTACCCGAGAACTAGCACGAGGCAACCTTTCCGTGTCAATGCTAGTAAAGCCAATATTTAGCTTGTTTTGGACTCAAAGGTTGGGGGGAATTGAAGATGCCACCACCCAGAAGACTGTCCATCACCTTCAGGAGGCCGTGCTATCCAGCACAGGAGCTGGTGCTGGCCACTTCATGGCCACTGAGCTGGGACATGAATGCAAACAGCTCCAAATCCGCTCGGGAAATCCAACACCAGGAGTGCTAGACTTGATTAGGGTAATTCTCTACCAGAGCTTCTGAATGAATCATTTTGCTGAGTTAAAGTAGGGCAATTACTGAATCAATTTAATGACTGGTTCAACGTAATTTAGCAGACTTGTATCCTGAATAAAGACATTCCCACTTTCTCTTTCAATTATTCTCACATATATAGCTGGAA